GCCATCCCTCCATATGATTCTGGTACGTTCTACGATGTTCCGGACTATTCTAGACAGCGTCCGGATTACTTGCATTACTCAGCCATGGACTATCTGACCTTATGTCGATTATGCTCCCTTACTCAGCGTTACTCATCGCTCAGTCAGCGTCCTCTGGACGTCACATGCCCTCTTCCTATACGCTTACTCATCGTCCTCCCCAGTAGTATATAAGGAGGACTCTGCAGGCCTCTGCTCTTCAGTCGTTCTCTCACAGACTGAAGACCTCTCCTTGTGCGGCTTACAGCCTTCCAGGTTCAGAGTTCATCACGTCTTTCAGAAGGTGAGTTGCTATCAACTGGCTGTGCTATAAAACACGCTCATGGCTGGCTCGGCTTGTGTTATGACAGGGCGTCTTCAACTGGAACTGACAATTCGTTGGGTCCTTCGATATCCACCGCAATTCTCTTCGATGAAAAGCTGCCGGGGCCTTTATACGGTCTACCTTTCGTCGATCCCAACCTATGTCATTCGAAAATCTATCCCCCTGGTCGCCAGAGGAACAAGCGACCACTTCATGACCGCGAACGGAACCAGTTCCAGCTTGAACTGCTGAGCTGGAAAGCGATGCGGAATGCAGACATTCCTATCCACTCACTTCCTGCTGAGCTACTGCTTCAGATTTTCGAGCAGTTCATTAGGCCGGCCTATCTTCCAGACGTGCCACTATCCCAACGGCGCCCACCTGATGAAAGGCCTCGACGTCCATGGGCGATTCTGATGAGGGTGTGTCGCCACTGGTGCGCTCTCATCAGGAGCAGCGCAAGTTTCTGGAGGGACATCGTCATATCCAAGGACACGAAGTGGTTCGACCTCGCTTTGGGCCGTCTGGGAGGTGCCCCATTCCGCATAGAGCTCGCTCCCGGATGTAGCCTCAAAGCGGTTCTGCCAGTGCTCAAACGACACGCCGACCAGATCGAGAAGCTGGTTTTCGAAGGGGAGGTGCGCAACACGGATGTTCCCCACCTTAGATCCTTCCTTTCTCGCTCTTTCCCTCTCCTAAACAACCTCGCGCTCACGCTGAAGTCATCTCGCCACATACGCTCTGTAAAAAGTAGCGTCTGTTCGAGCTCTCCCCTCAGATGGCTGGACCTCACGCGAACCTCGTTACCTTGGACGAGCTCGCTCTTCACCCACCTCGAGGTCCTGTCTCTGACCGACTGCCGCTCGTCAACCCCAGCCCTTTCTTTCTCCAACTTTCTCGACGCCCTCGAGAACGGAAAGCGACTTCGATACCTTCATCTCGAACGATTCCTCTCCGCCGTGTTGGACCCTCAGACCTCCACCCCACATGAGCGTCTTATAACGCTCCCCCAGTTGCAGCACCTCACATGCTGCGACCTGCCAGCCAACGTTGGGCAGCTGATGACGCACCTCTATACCCCCGCTATCTCGCGTGTAGAACTCCTGGGAGAGTGCCATGACGTCGGCGCGCCCTCCACCGCCCACGGCTCCTTGCTCCCGGAAGATGCTAGCAAACGGATTCCCGTCCTACGGTCCATCACCCATGCATCCCTCAACGTCACCGCCCAAGACAACGACCTTCGTTGTTCCCGCCGTTCACTCGAGTTCGAGATGAGTTTGGTCGACCCCGATTCTATCGAATTCTGGGACGAAGGACCTTGGGTCGACAGGAGCTTGCGGCAGCTCCCTGCGATGCTCGGACCTGCGTTGACGGAGCTGGAAGTCGGCGGCTGCCTGGACGTCTCGCAGGCGACTTGGGACCGCGTGTTCGACGCGTTCCCCGCGCTGCAAACGCTGCTCATCCGAGAGTACGAGTCTGTGCGTTTCCCCACTGCCATGGTCCAGGACCCACGCCTCTTCACCAAAGGTTTGTCCAAAAGTTGCATATTTGACCTGCCTTATATGGTAATAGGCCTTGTCCCGGTTGCATATTTAAGGACCCAAATCGAGACTAAGCGCCCGTTAAGCGCTGAAACCCTTGTCCGAGTTTGCATATTTTGCGCTCCAAATTGGGCGTTTGTGGGCGCCTAATTGCCATTTCGGCGTCTAAAGGCGGCACACGTGCAACTTGGCGTCAAACCTTGTCCAAGTTTGCATATCCGAGGGTCAAAAGTTTGCATATTTTGGGCCGAAATTCGGGGTTGCTGATGGACAAACCTTTGGTGAAGAGGCGTGGGTCCTCATGGTCCACTCCCTCGCCGCTCCTCCCTTGCTCTCAGCCTCACACTACTCAGGCTCTACCAGCGCCGGAAGATCGCCCCCGGTATCGCCCCGCGTGCGCTGTCCAAACCTCAAGATCCTCAGGATCGACGGCTGGGATTGGAGTAGGCGTGCATTGGCCCAGATCCTGGATTGCCTGCGCGTGCGCGTCGCGCATGGCGCGTCTAAGCTGGAGTACCTTGGGATAGATGCAGAGGGGGATGGATGGGTGCCTGAGCTAGCCCCCGTGCTGGACAAGTACCGCCCGCGGTTTCTTGCAGTCGTGTGCGAGTTCGATATTTTCAGGTACTGGTGGTAGTATATTTTTCATCTGGGGTCGGACCATCATGGGGTATTTTTACCTTGTTTGGGCACGAGGGAGCTCGCGGCACGGCTGAATGTATATCCATGCATCTTACGTTTACCTTTGCTTACCTTTGCTTACCATCTTATTCCATACATAGGGCGAGGCCTTGTCGCTACTGGCACAAGACTGACAGTCCGAAAATGGGGGACATCTACGATACGGCACATTCTATCTCGAGGCACATCGACGAAGCTGTCGTGGAAGCACGTAACGAACTAAACACGGCGATCTTACTCACGCCCTAAGCACGCCGCGCTCCTCTACTTGTCCAACCCGTCCGACCACGACTCATACTTGTCGATCTCCTCCGCCAGCGCCCTCATCGTCCCGCGCGTCATCGCGATCGCGTCCTTTCCCAGCGGGAAGTGCCGCGGCGGGTCCGGCAGCTTCGCAAACTCGATGATCTTCCCCACGGCGCGCGCGGCGTCCGCCAGCGGGAGCTCCGTGGCGGTGTCCACCGCCTGGCCCGCGCCCTTGAGGAACGCGCCGCGGAACTGGTGCACGGGCAGCGCGGGGTTGGCGTACGCCGGGTGCTGCGGCACCATGATCATGTTCGTATCGTTGAACGCGGAGGTCTTGAACGAGCCGGGCTCGACGAGGGAGACCTGCGTGGTATGCGTCAGACAGGCTTATCCCGACTTCGAGTGGTGTTAGGAGAGAGGCTACCTTGATGTTCCACGCAGGGTCGAGCTCCTGCGCGAGCGAGTCGGTGAACCCCTCGAGAGCTGGTGCGCAAGCAAAACCAATCAGTAGCCGCATAATGCGCCAGGTGTGCTCGGCGCTGGCTGGCGGAGTATGCTCACCGTGCTTCGTCGCGACGTAGAACGCGATCACAGGTATGCCCGTGAAGCCGGACGCGCTGCTGTTCTGGAGGAGCAGCCCGCCCTGCGGCTTATTCTCCTCGCGGAAGAAGCGCACCGCGCGCTGCGAGACGTGCACCGCGCCCCAGAAGTTCACCTCGAACTGCTGGCGCGCGACGTCGTCCGGCATCGCCTCGGCCTCGCCGACGACGACGTAGCCGGCGTTGTTGAACACGATGTCGATGCGGCCGAACGCCTCCTTCGCCTGGATAAATGCGGCGTCGATGTCTGCGAGCTTCGTGACGTCGAGCTTGATGACGCGGAGGCGGTCGGCGGGGTATTTCTGCGCGAGGTCGTCGAGGACGGCGGGCTTGCGGAGCGTCGCGACGACCTTGTCGCCGCTCTCGAGGGCTTGGATCACGGTCTCGCGGCCGAAGCCGGAAGACGAACCGGTAACTGTGGAATGACGGTCAGGGCGAGCCCACAACCTGCCGGTGAATGAGACGAGGGAGATACTCACTGAACCAAACACGAGATGCAGACATCGCTATGATGGAGGCTGGAGGATGAGAATTACTGGTGTTTGAAGCAGTGGTGGTGGTGTGGCGTTGTACGACGGCTTGCGCAGCGTGCATTTTATACTTCCGTTGTAATCACGTTCATAGCGATCGACGGGCGTCGCGCAACGCGCACAAGGACCAGGAAAATCTGCTGAACCGAGGAAACGTCAATGGTAGCGGACGCCAAGTCGGTTCCGATAGCTGACTGAGCTAAGTAGCTGAGTAAGATACCCCGTCGGCGTAGACGTATGTGGGTCAAGTCGCTGTAGTGATACTCAAATAAGTATGAGCTTTCCGGGCCGTAAATTTTGCTTACTAGTACCGACTACCGGGGTTAACTCGAACTTCCCGAAGGCGGCAGATCTAGTGAGTCTATGCTCTCAGTTGAGGAGAGACCGTAGACGAATTTGAGCGTACAGTTCCGCGGGCCTTCGCAGAGCGCTATCAACGAATTCCGAAGCCGGCGAAGGCGATATTTCCGGTATATATTCAACCATATGCAGCCCTCATATGCAAAAACAGATGCTTCGTCTGGTACGGTGCCAGATAGATATACCTGCTACCGCAACTTGCGATAAAATCGTCAGTATAGGCTGCCACTCGCAGTTTGTCAGAGGTTGTTGACTGACCTGAATATCACAACTACCGAGCGAAGGATACGTTCGCCAAATGTTTTGTCTTGGTCAAAAGTCTGACCCACCCTGCCGTCCGAGTGAGTGGGCGAGAGACAACACCGCGACACAAATAGAGGAACCTTTGCCTCTACGGGCGCTTAGTACAGCACTATCACGTCATGCCAGTGACGCCCACCGGCTCCCGGTAACGAACAAGTACTCGCTCAAGCGCTCACGGCTGCTCGCAGGCCTCCACACACACTCTTCACACGTTTGGTGCAAACGGTCGAATTTCTAAATCAATTCACGACCAACACATCCTCCCACAGGCCTACCGGCCCAGATCATCCGACCACGACTCGTACGCATCGATCTCCTCCGTCAACGTCTTCACCTTCTCGCGCACGGCGGCAACCGCGTCCTTTCCCAGTGGGAAGTGCAGCGGCGGGCTCGGCAGCCGCGACAGCGCGATGATCTTCGCGACCGCCCGCGACGCGTCGACGGGGGCAAGGTCCTTGGAGGTGTCCACCTCCTGGCCCCCGCTCTTGAGGAACGCGCCGCGGAAATTGTACACGGGCAGCGCGGGGTTGGCGTAGGCCGGGTGCTGCGGTACCACGATCATATGGTTCGCGTCGAGGTCAAAAACGGATGTCTTGAACGCGCCGGGCTCGATGATTGAGATCTGGGTAGCACGCGTCAGCCACTGGTTCCGCGCCCGAAGAGAGGCGTAAGAAACTACCTTGATATTCCATGCAGGGTCGAGCTCCTTCGCAAGGGACTCGCTGAAGCCCTCAAGGGCTATTCCCACGGCAAGAGTCAGTAACAGCAGAGGGAGTACGCTCGTAAAATATACTTACCGTGCTTCGTCGCGGAGTAGAACCCGACGATGGGCATAGCCGCAAGGCCCGCCAGACTACTATTCTGCAGCAGGAGTCCGCCCTGCGGCGTGTTCTCTTCGCGGAAGAAGCGCACCGCGCCCTGCGAGACATGCACCGCGCCCCAGAAGTTGACTTCGAACTGCGGGCGCGAGACGTCGTCCGGCATGACCTCGACCTCACCGATGGCGACATAGCCGGCGTTGTTGAACACGATGTCGATGCGGCCGAACGCGGCCTTGGCCTGCGCAAAAGCGGCGTCGATCTCGTCGGGCTTCGTGACGTCCAGCTTCACGACGCGGAGGCGGTCGGCGGGGTATTTCTTCGCGAGGTCGTCGAGCGCGGCGGGTTTGCGGAGTGTCGCGACGACTTTGTCGCCGCTCTCGAGGGCTTGCATCACGGTCTCGCGGCCAAAGCCGGAGGAGGAGCCGGTGACTGAATGATGGACGGGGTGAGTTGGCACTTGTATAAGATATGAGGAGTCACTGGTACTCACTGAACCAGACGCGAGGTGCAGACATTGTTATGATAGAGGCTTTGAGGGTTGCGGATGTGGAATGTTGGTGTGTGCTCTACGATGGACTGGGCGACGTCCATTTTATACTACCCCTTCTATCCCGTACGTGCCTTTTGACGATCCTTGCACGACGCAAAGCAGAACCTGTCTGACAAAGCTGCAGAAGCCTGGCAGAGGCGCTACCAGTGGGCGGGCATCAGTTCTATGAGGCTGACTGAGGTGTCTCTCAGACTCTCACCGTGGTCCAGAAGGCTCTTGAAACGCTCTTGAAGCTGAAGCTGAGTAAGTTGCGACTTGCATGGATGCGAGCCGAAGGTATTCGTCGCTTGGGGCGCTTATTGGTGTGATTGTCGCCCGTACCTCGAACATTTCGCTGGCATACGGTCCGATGTGGACCTCCGGTTAACGGGATGCAGAGAACGTTGCGCATGTAAAGCTCCATATCGTGAATCTTGATTCACTTTCTTTGACCCTGGGCGATAGTGACACTGATGCGGCGGTGCAACGCCACTGTGTGTTCGCCGCTCCAGGCGTGCCGTAACGATGAAATGCTTCCTGGTTTTGAGAGACGATCAGTGATCACGCGAGCTGAACGAGTACGTCAGTCAAGCCCATGCGACGTTGGAAAGCGCGAGTGGAAAGGCACGTACTAGTAGTAAACTTAAAATGTATTGCCCGCGGGTAGCGCGTCTAGACTTCCCACTTGTCCGTTCGACTGCATTATTGGACCGTAAGCCTGCGACAAGGTTGCACTAAAATGTAGTCGAACATTGACTTCCTGCGCGGGAGTATCCAGATCGCGCAGCCGCTAGTGTCATGACAACAGTCCGCGACTCCGCGCAGGTCCACCGCCAAGGCTGCCCGGTGTCCCCTTCGAATTCAAATTCAAGCCCAGCCCATCCACGGGCGACAGTGCGGCTGCAAAATGGCAGCTCGCAGGAGCACTGCCAGTGCGGGGGGACTGCGAGAGCCTCGAAGTGCATATAAGACCCGTCGCTTACGCCAGGTGGCTGCACCCACGGTTGCTTCTGCCCAGTATGCGCTCCCCCTTCTGCCTTCTCGCGCTTCTCTTCCTCGCGCCGGCGTTGATCATGCACCCCGTTGCGCAAGGCGCACCTACAGAAAACATCGGTGAGTAAGAGAAAAGTCAACGTCTCATAGCGAGGTGGAATGCTCACGTTCGTCGTAGCGCCCGTGGCCGACGTTAAATCGGATGCGGCATGGCTCGCCCGTAGGAGGCATATAATGGTAGCTATTCGACGCACCTTCTTGTGCGACGCGTCTGATTGCGTCTGTTAGGAGATAGCCAGACGACAGGTTGAGCAGGCTTGAACTTTAAGTGCAGCTTGTCTTCCGCGTCGAAGGCGGCAGGGCGTTTACCGCAGCGACCTGGAGAGACACAGAAATCAAACGTATGCAGTATGTTATTGTACGATAGAAGGTTGTAGAGAGCCACCGCCCGGGGCGGGGTCAAGATAGAGGAATTAGACGAGCACCAAAATCCTGGAAAGAAACGGTTAGCTAGGTTATGGGGTTCGAATAGGCGCGACCTTACCACATCTCTCGGAAGCGATACCAAGAATACGCCACTGGAGCCTAACACACAGCCCCTTCATCACAGTTCCCGTGCCCGCCTCCCGCCCGCCGCCGCCCACTCCGCATACTCCCGCTGGTTCTCCTCCACCGCTGCATACACCGCGCGCCAGTCCAAGCAGCGGCGGATCGGGTTCGCGTCCACGGGCCTGATGTTCGACGGGTACTGGTACGGGTCGAGGTGCGTGTCCCCGCGGCACAGGATCATCTGCCGGATGTAGTTCATGCAGTGCCGCGCGGGCTGCTCCGTGCGCTGCGCGCGGGGCTTCGTGAGCTGCTCGCGCATGATGTCGAGGCAGCGCAGCTGGTGGAACATGGACGGCAGGAACGGCTCGCGGGACGCGCCGAGGTGGACGAGCCCGTCCCCGGGGACGAGCGCGGACCAGGCGGCGGAGGCGTTGAAGCCGTAGTGCAGGCCGCTGTCGAACTGGAACGCGACGGGCTTGCGCTCGACGTCCCACACGCCTCCTGTGACAGCCAGTCGGTATGTTTGCACGCTCGACAGGTAAAAAGGGCTGACCGTTTATGGGCTCCGGAGTTTGCAGGGAGTAGAGCCGCGTTAGGCTGACCAGCTTGTAGGCGAAGTTTATACCGAGCAACGTCAGCACAAGCACGAGAGCAATGGACTCAAGTCGGTGAGAAGACAACATCGTGTAAGAAAAGGTGGAAGGGTGGAGGCAAGGTCGAAGAGAACCCCTGCTAAGACCAAGCCTCTGAGCTATAGGGTTTCCAAGAAGCAAAATAGCGCGGACAGCATGTCGAGGCTATGCACTGCATGCAGGAGGTATTCGGGCGGCAGTGAACATCGAGGTTGAGCGTACATGATGGCGGCAACCAGCGACGATCTTGCCTCAAGAAACAGAAGCTTACACAGTGAATCATGATGGTCAATGCATACCAGAGAGTCTTCCACTGATCGCGGACCGCAGGGACTCGGAGATCGGATGTATGAACAGCGTAGGCTATAATCAAACACGTCGGACGACCGGGGATTTGTAGAGTCCCATACCACCCTGGTACCTCAGTTGATGGTCAATGAGATACGTAGGCATGTAAACTCGGTTAGGTGATTGAGTTCCAACTCTGGGCTGCCTAAAAACAAAAGCCTTGACGACAGTGAATAGGGAAGCTCGTTCTCCCGACTTACTGGGACTGAGATCACCTCCACTTGCCTGTACACATTACGCACAGTTCAAGCGACAGGTGTACAGGAAAAGGTGCTTCGCGGTTCTGGCGTGTGGGTACGAATGAGGGAAGAGGCCAAGCCTGCAGTTTTAGCGCTGCATATTTTCGAACTCATCCTACGCCGCCACGTGGCCACGCGGCCCATGCCAGTGGCAGTGAGCGGTGACCCCGAGCCTCCTTCCATGTTCCAACCTGGTTCCAACCGTCATCTCGAGCGGCCATGTGTCATAGACTGGCGGTGTGCTTGCAACACATCAATGCTGTCCAGGTATGTGCGGATGGCGAATACTGTGCACCGGATGTTATTGAACAGCACAACGCCAGCACTGCCGTAGCACAGCACTCATAGCGCTCCAGTTAGTGGAATGCAACCGAATACTGCAATCCCCTTCAAGGCATTCTCTTCAGAAGAATGGGCTGTGCCATCGCAGCTTTGCGAATCCAACCATCGCACTTGGATGCTGTGTCGCATGCAGCTCTTAGGATGTGTGCGATAGCTCCTCCGCGACACTGAACGCCCACCCTCCATCCCGCTATTCGCCTATCCACAACGATGCCATCCAGACAGGCTCTTGAAGAGCACGCGTCCCTTCTCCATGACCGAGACTCCTACGAGCTGGAGGACGCCTACCACAACCACTCGCCATGTACGTGTTCCTCATGAAACTGGATATTCTCCATTACACTCGCTTATAGTGAACTGCAGCACCGGAAGGGGAACAGCCCGCGTGGAAACAACCCACCCGACGCCAATGGGCCCTATCCTGGGGCTTCGTCCTGCTCGGCGTCGTCACTCTCACCGACCTCCTCGCGCTGCTCTACATGTCGCACATCATGGCGACCGTGTACGCCGATGTGGGCACCACAGACCTCGAGTTCGCGAGCCCGTACTACGGCCTGGCGGAGCTGTACGAATCCGGCTCCATTAGCGCATCGCGCATCGACCCCATTCTTAATACGCCGCGCGTCGTCGCGCAGGTGTTCAGCGATCGCCCGAACGAGCTCGCGCCCGTGGGTGAGCACGATGTGTTCGTGAAGGTGTTCGGGACGCTCTCTCCGCACGAGAAGCACCTCCGCGTATCAGAAACCGTGAGTGGCCCTTCCCCCACGCCGTACTCCTCCCGCGCTGATCTCCTCTATTCCGATCTGTCAGACCCATACGATCGCTCAGTTCCGCACGGTCGAGTTCGGTATGGAAGACTGCGCGCTCGTCATCCGCCTCCCTGGCGCGGATGACCGCATCGAGAGCAAGGAGCCGTTCCGCTTCAATCCCCAATCAGCACTCGACGTCTACCGCCTGGCCGCGCCGAAGCCCCTCGACGTGCGCACGCTTTCGTATGCCTCGCGGCCACGCATACAAGAGAAGGTCGCGACCGTAACACCACGCGCGGGCGAGACCGAGGTGACGCGCTTCCCGTGCGCGTGGAGCACGCTGCACACCTTCGAGATCGCATGTGCACCACACGCGCGATCGGAGTGTCTGCTTGACGTGTGGTCGAGCCAGAACACGACTTGGGGTGAGTGACCTGTGCTGCTGCTCTGTGTAATGCGGAGAACTGACTGGCGTGTTGGGCAGGTGTCTACATGTATCAGCATCAGACCGTCTAGAGCCGGTGTGTGCAATGCGACACCGCATATAGCCTGCATCCCGTTGCTCCGTGGAGAACATATCAGGACTGGAAGCACTGCGAGATTGTAACTCGGACGAGCGAGTGATAGCCTAATCAAGAACGATCCGAACGAGGATGTTTGAGCCGGAATGGCATGCTGCGATCCATCGACCGCAGGGGCTACTGGACGATCTATGCGGCTCCGAGCTGGGCGGGAAGCGCCACGATGGACACCGCCCTTCCCTGTCTTCGAAAGTCCCCCATCTCGTAGAGTTGGACCAGTAATGCTGTTGCAATAAACGTTCATTATACCCTCCCTCATCGATAGACTGATAGCCCACGTACCAGTGCGACGGCGATGCACCAAGCTTGCGCCGCAGAGGCTGCACATTCCCGTTCAACCTGATCAAACACAATCAAATTAGAAGCGCGCCATATGAGCCCGGTACGCTCTCCGGCGTCCGCCTCGGACGTTGTACTCGTGCTTCGAGAGGCTGTGGATTCGCGCCGGCACCGGGCGCCACGAAGCACGCCCTGCCACACGAAGCTCAAGTTGGCAGCCATCTTCGTGCCACAGTCGCAATGAGTCCCTGCGCGGTGGGAGTCGAGACAGATGATGAGCGCGGCCGAGACGCGACCGCAGACAATCATCCCGCCGACTCGGATTGTTGTAAAGTGTTTCCAAGTCGCTCAGCACCGGTATGTGGCCGGTCGGGAGCCCGCTCGCCCCTCGGATCCGTGCGGTACTTGGGGCACTGGACAACGTCAAGCGACAGTATAGACCCGAGATATCGCACCATGACTTTGACCTGCGCCCAACCATGATATCCCGCTGCTCTGCCTATCTTCTCCTCGCTGTCCTCGCAGCTTTGAACGCGTACCTCGATCTCCTGCATGTACGAGCAACACTCCATGTAGCGAAAGGGCGCACGCCTCCGCCCTCTCATTACAGTGAGCACGCCCTTCATCGTCCTCACCGTGAACGCACCTGACGGCGACGCTCCAGCCTTCATCGACGACGACTACGCGCCGCGCCTCCCCCTCCCCTCCGCACGCCGCGCCGTAAAGCTCACATTCGAAGACAGCGCGCGCTACGCGCTCTACGCACCCGAAGCCAACGCCGAGTGGCTCTCCACGGCGACTGTTGGCGACGGGAACGTGCACCTCGGGCCCGCCGCGCGCTTCTTCGTCGTTGGGGTCACGCACCAGCTGCACTGCATGCGCGCGTACCGCCAGGCGCTCGCGCAGGATGCGCCGGTGCGCCCGCACACGCACCAAGGGGGCCACCTCGCGCACTGCCTGAACTTTCTGCGCATGTCGACGCTGTGCGCGGCGGACGTGGCGCTCGAGCCGCCAGATGCGCTGGCGCGCGAGCATGGGAGAGGCGGGGCGGGTGGGGTGCATGAGTGTGTGGATTGGCCGGCGTTTTATGACGAGATGAAGGCGAATTACGAGGGTTGGACGGCGTACCAGGAGTCGGACGTGTAACGTGTTGCGCGAGTTTAGGCGCAGTCGAGTGTGCAGGCGCAGATCATCGGCGGGGTTGGACGTGTGTAGGTCGTTGTGGATCACTGTTGGCAGTCACCGCCACTTGTAGATCACAGTCGCATGTCGTGAGAGGATGTCGCGTTATTGATTGTTAAGATCTCAAACATTATGAGACTACTTCGACCGTGTTAATCAGGGGATGTTGTAGCTGCCGATGACCAGGAGATATACGCACCTGTTCATCTGTTTGCTACCTCGCGACGCCTTCGTAGCCTACTGCAACTGCGGCCTGGGGTATCCCCGCCTCCACATCGTTATCCATCTCACCCTTCAGATTCTCGTAAAACGCCGGAATCAACCCCGCCTTCTCCCTATCTTCCGCATTGAACGGGCCCTTCAAGTCTCCCCTCCACCCGCGCCTCACCTCCTCCCTGAACGTCTCCACCGGGTCCACGCCCTGCTTGGCACACACCCACGTGAACCAGCGGTGGCCCGTCGTGACGTGCGTCACCTCGTCGTGATGGATCGTCTCAAGCACGCGCACGCTCTCCGCGTCGCCCGCGCGCCGGAACTTCTCGATCGTGCCCGGGTTCACGTCGAGCCCGCGCGCCTCGTGCACGAGGTGAATGATGGCGAGGCGCGCGCGCAGCGAGGGGAACGTCACCTGCGCGGACTCCCACAGCCCGGCATGTACGGGGAGGGAACCATATGGGGTGGGCGGAGAGAGCGCGGCGAGACGCGCGGTGAGGAGGGAGAAGTGCTTGGACTCGTCGAGCGCCATCTTCGTGAAGTCTGCGAAGAACGCGGGCGGGAGGTCTGGATGCGAGGGGCCGTATCTGGCGATGATGTCCCATCTGTGCAGGAGAGGTGAGTGATGGGCACGCGCATATAGTCGCATATGACTTACGCAAGGTCAATTCTGGGGGATTACACGTTAGTATTGGCCGAATAACGCAGAAGGCGTCCACTCACGCCCACTGCTCGATGTTGGCCAACGCATGCAGCATAACTGCCCTGTTCTTTCTTCGCGCCATCTTGGCCGGATCGACCGTGTTTCGCGCGTATGTCTCCTCACGCGGAGGGACTTCCGGCGGTCTTGGCGCCTTCGTCGAGCGATGTCCGATGGACTTGAGCTGGCCGGTACGGAACTGCTGCACGGCGTGCCTTGTACGTTGCACCTGTATCAGCGTAAGCTTGTATAGTGCTGCCAGGGAGCAAAAGACGCACCTTGAGCATAGGATCCGCTGTGTTCAGTATGAGGACCGCCCACTGGATTAGAGTCGTGGGTGGATTCTCTGCTGGGATGACGGGTTCCGGTTCTTTAGGTTCGGGCGAAGATATAGAGAGGTGGGAGAGATCAGGGGGAGGCGGAGGGGGGTCGGCAAATTCTGCACGTATCTTCAGCATTTAACACGGCTAAGAGGAGCACATGTTGCTGACCTTCGGAGACCGGTCGAAACTCTACCAGTCGCCAACTTCGACTCCCCTCGGGTGTCTCAACCCAAATTTGCTCCGTCCCTTCATCGTCCACGCGAATGTCGGTAGCATATGTGCACGCCTTCAGCCCAGTCTCGCTGTGTCCCGTCTTCATATCGAAATCATATCTGCATGTTCCTCAGCGCAATGGTCTCGTATGGGGTTGACAAATAGCGGACCTGTGCCAAGGACAAACTGCGACAACACCAGTGTCGCATTCCTCAATCTCCGCATGGGACATGTCGGCGCCGAGGTGAGGACAGTTGGCTTCCATGACATATATCTGGTCGTGCAGGCTCTGAAGGGTAGTCGCGCGATCATCGTCTCCGCTCTCAGGGAGTTGTGTCGGGGTCAAGCGGAAGAGGATGAGGGAGTGATAGCTGCCCTCTTGCGAACGAAGCGTCAAGAAGAATCGAGAATGAGTTGCCAGCTTCGTGAGTGGTGACACTCTGTCCTAGGTTTGGACGTTCAACACCAGAAGATATCTGTAGAGTTGATGCACGTACCTCAACCACCCTGCCGCGAACTCATCTGACACCGCAGTCTTGAGTATATCTCCCACAGACATTCCCTCTCGCTTAGTGCTGGAAAATTGGGGTACGTTGGTTGATAGAGGGCTTGTGTGATTCCGACGAATTACAGGTCTACCCTCCACTTTGCAAGTCTGGAAGTGATATCAATTTGCGGACCACCTACGCGGAACGAAGCGAATAGATTTACCTGGAGAAGGCTTGAAGGTGAGGTAGTACAGCCAGAACACACTCCGATACTGTACAATGGCCTTCCAATACGATTCCTGGGAAGCACAAGCCGAGAGAGCATTCACACGTCTGAACGATAGCGAGAGGCAAGAAGAGAGACCGCCGGGAGCGGCGCTTACTACGCGCCTAGCCAACACGCGGCACGCGACAGACGCGTCGCGCGTTTAACGCGCGAAGCTTGGCTTCAACTATATGCAAAACGCAGGAAGCGACGAGCCAAGCTCTGATAGGACTTACGGGTTGACGTAGTGCCAAAATGGTGCTAGTAATTACATGATGAGGGAGAATACATGATAGGTAGCAAAGAAGACGAAGAGAGATAGAGTGCGCGTGAACGTGTATGCGACAGCAACCGACATGCGAGGAAGATACCACAGAGAGAAGACGCAGCTAGCGAGAACTTAACGACTTCGCGACGATGGATAACTTATAGTCCTTGCTCATCGCCGCGGCCAGAAAACACTCACGCTAACCTGTACCCAATGCTGCGCCTGTTCGGCGACTGCGGCCTCGCGTGCAGCAGCATCCAGCGCGGCATCCGCGTCACCTCCGTGACAGTCGAGATCGTCGTAGTCGTGGTCGTGCGCGTCGTCGTGATGTGGTCGCGCTCCTCCGTGACCGACACCGTCTCCGTCGTCGCGGGCGGAGACACCGCGCGCGCGCTGCGCACCTCGACCTCCTTATCGTGCTCGTCTGCAGGCGCGCATCGCGTGTAGTGCCAGAGCTGGCAGGGCTCCCCGGGCCGAAGGCGTACGAGCTGGATCTACAGAGGGATGTCAGACGACCTGCAAGGTATGTCAATGTAGGGGTCGGCATACCTTCGTCCCTGGGGTCTTGCTTCCCCATTCTGCGAGGTCGAAGACAAAATCGGTGTTCGGCCATGAGATCCTGAGCGCATACAGTCAGCGAATACTCAAACGTCGGCACCAATGAACTTACATGATGCCCTCATTCGTATGCTCCACGTTCCAGCTGACGGGGTACGGGCTTGCGACAATGGCAGCATTCTCCCGCAGACCGTCCTCAGTGGTGAGGTACAGCGGGTGGCCCTCCTTCGACCGCCTGACACAGCGGATGACGTATCCGTGTCCACTCGGGATGAACTCCCACTGTGAAAGTACAACGTGTGAGTATATGCTTTTGCAGCAAGGCGAAAGCACATACCTGCTGGTTAGGCCCCCCATGCATAGGGTATCCAATGAGCGTCTTGTTGTCCGCGCCCGACATGTCCACCGCCGTCCCGCTCCGTGCGTTCAGCAGCACGTACGTCCCCGGGGTCCACACGCCGCCAGCAGGGGTGGCCGTGCCCGAGCGCGCAGACACAGCAGTCGCGTCGCTCGCCTCGGACTCGTGGTGCGCAGTGTGGTGCTCAAGGCCAGGGGGCGACGCGTGCTCGTGCTCTTCCTCCTCCACCGGCGCGAGAGCCTCCTCGGACTTCACTGCGGCACGCGGCGTCGTCACCGTGTCTAGTTCAACTGGGGGCTCGGCGTCCTGGTACACGCTCAGGAGCTGCTCTGGGGCGTCGTTGCCTGAGCTCTTGGTCTCCGGAGTGGACTCTTCTGCTGCGAACGAGCCCGGGCCGCCGAGGGGGATGAGCCCTGTTCCGAGGTCTCTCTCCTCGGCGGGCGCCGGGTTCTGGATGTGCGGGACGTCCTGCACGTCGTACCCTGGTACGCGCACCTCATCCGCGGGGTTCGGTGACCGCCAAGGTTCGAGGGGGGGAGACTGGGACGGGGTCGCGGGCGCAGGAGTCGGCGGTTCCGCACCAGGCATGGCGCTCGCCGAGCGCACAGACGCAGTGTCCGTGGTGGAGCGGGCGAGCTGGGCAAGCCGCTGGCGCGGGCTGCTCGTGCGTGAGTTCATGTCGCTCGGTGCGTTTCCCATCTTGTCTGTCGAGGTCGAGTGCTGTGTCTTGTCGCTGTTCGACTTGGCTTCTGCCTTGCGCTCGCGGCCGAAGAAGAAGTGCTTGAAGGTGTGCGAGGACGAGGTGGTGGTGGAGGACTTGTCGGTACGGTGGCCGCGTAGACGGATGCTGAGGCTCTGGAGGTGGGGCATTCTGAGGGGAGGGAGGGAGAGCGCTGTTTAACAGTGTTGGTGATCCAGGGGTGCACTCTGGAGGGTGGAGGCCATGAGTCTGGCGGCGCGCGGTGGACGCCTGCCCTCGGCGTGCATTGGAGAAGGTCTGCTATCCGCAGGCAAGCTCGCTGCAGCACGCAACGCGTGTTTCATACCACTGGTGCTGTCTGGGGGTACTTCTGAACTTAGACGTCGCTATTGGTTCGGTTCCGTGGGGTTTTATTGTCACGGTCTACACCGTGCAAACCATGGGACTGCTAACAGCTGTCGGGCTTGCCTCTTCAACACTTGCACTTCGTGGATAGAAGCACTGCAACATAATCAGTCGATGTGTTGTAGATGTAAAACATATTTTGTGGTGCAAATCTCGTGGATCTCAGAGAGGCCCTAACTCGACCTGTATGTCGCGCGGCTTTCGCATGGCGTCGAAGCCTACACGAGCGTGGTCCTGCCCTCTGATTGATGAGGCTCGTATCGTGCTTGAGGTGCAATCCAAAGCGTAGCCGTGCGGGCGTATGTCTTCTTGCTGAGCGATGTTGCCTGCCCCCCGAACATCGTGGTCGCGGTCGAAGAGCGAGTTGGCGGAAAGAGGTGGTCGCGCTTCTTGGGCGGTAGCGGCTGCACGTGACAAGAGTAAACTCGCGTCCGCGGCGCGCGCGGTCTCCGCGTTTTGCCCTCTCCCCCAACCATCCACACTCTCCACGTTCCGCACACCCACACGCGCGCGCAGATATGACTGAGGAGCAGCAGCAGGAAGACGTGAAGCCGAAGATCAACCTCGTGGTCGACTTTGAGGGGCAAAGTGAGTGGTTGCGGGAAGCAGGCGGGGAGGCGCGTTTGGCGGGGCGCTGACCGGGTGTATACTGAACGCATCGGTATGGCGCACGCGTCGCTTAGCGTGCACGGTGAAGGTGAAGCCAGGAATGCCGTTCAAGAAGCTGTTCGAGGCTGCAGAGGTGCGTTCACTGGCTGTATGCATGGATGCTAGGTTGACTGAGGAAACGTTGTAGAAACGGTTCCAGAAGGAACCAGGTGTGCACATACGTCTGAGCGTGAAGAAACACGGCTAATCCGAGGTCTTCAGGGACATTCAAGTTCACATATGGTGGACAAAGGTTACGTCCAGAAGAGACTCCCGCAGAGGTGCGCCTCCTCCGCGCAGTCATCCATGGTTTCCTGCTTACCAAATACACGAATCACAGCACGGTATGGAGGACGGCGACGCCATCGATGCTCATCTGCAGCAGGTGCGTGTGTTAGTTGTCGAGTCCTATACAGCCCCCTAACGCCACTGCGGAAATTTCAGCTCGGTGGCGGCGCGTGGTAGTGGGGTGATGAAAAGGCTGATGCTGGATCTGCGTATTGTACCATTTTTCACTTATTCTCATCGTGTACTCTGGTGTGTTCTTTATCTCTCTCTGCCTATCCCGCATCCTTCAGACATGGCGTGAATCAAGATCGGAGGAATACTCGGAGACGGGCGCTTATGGTCCATTCGGCGTGCTGGATTCAGTTCTATGCTCTCGTCTTCAACCATCATCGTCGTCGTACATCGGCATCCACAGCCAGCGTACCATATTGTTCATATAAATATTCGGTGCCTGATCAACTTCGTAAGCAATGTTCAAGAACAACCTTGACGACGCTAATTCGTCTATCAGCTACACCTGTGGCTGTCGCCCGGTCAGCTTGTCGCGTACCCTTTCTTGCCTCCACCGGCGTCCTCACCAGCCTGTCGTCGCTGCACGTCTCCGGTGGTGGGTTACTACTACGTGTGGGACATCGTTCTCGAGTCCCTCCCGGCGATGCAGACGCTCACCTTCGTACTACCAAGCCCGTACAAACTACCGTCCAGCTGATATTCCTTCAAAATTCTCAATCCAGATTCCAGATCCTCCAATCCCTCGCCTCCAAGGGCTCCGCTCCGAAGTGTCCCATGCTCCAGGTCCGGATCTCCACCGAGGTTCCGTTCAAGCGTGAGGAGCGTCCGATGGAGATAACGTTGAAGTACTTGCGCGCCCGTGTGGCGTGCGGGATGGCGCGCTTGAGACATCTCGCGCTGACGATACACTGGGAGACGGACCTGGACGGTGTGAATGATGTGGCCGACAATTCTCGTTCGAATAGCGTCCACGGAGGAAGTCGTAGAGACGGATTTAACGCTCCGGAGTCTGCTGCGTTGCTCATCTCGCGGGAGTCCTCGCACGTCTGGATCTCGGCCCTCTGCAGTATTCATTACAGTACCTGTTTCCGTTAGATGATTGAACATGGGCGACGGAGAGCGCCGTCTCGAACAATTTGTACGATGTGCACTGCCAGCTCAGAGTGAGGCGGAGCTGTGTTTCAACAAAGACCGGGCGCTTGTTGCATGTTCGAAACTCTGTTCTCGACCACGACGCCGACGCTCTCAGCTCGTTCTTCTTGCGGCGTTCATGCTCCCTGCTGCATACGTGCACTAGTACGTTGAGCTCTCACTAGACATGTATCGCAGCATGGCCTCCTAATGAGAATCGATTCCATGTAACAGATATAGCACGGCCGTGTCAATAATGGCCCCGTACTGGGGAGCCGTCTGCTCGCCGCCTGTGCTTATGAACGAGAAGTCGCCGGGACCGTTCTACGGTCTTCCCGCAGTGGATATCAACTCCCGAACTATTCAAAGTTGTCCTCGCCAAGCAGGCAAGCATAACCTGTTCGACGAGCGGCGGAAGTTCGAGCTGGAGCTCCTGAGCTGGAGCGCCATGTGGAACGCGGATCTTCCCATCCACTCACTTCCCGCGGAAGTGCTCCTGCAAATATTCAAGGAGTTCCTTCCTCCCACAGATCCATCGACGGAGGCGCTATGCTTTCGCAACGATGGGTACGTTTCCCGCTCTACGTACAAGCGGCCCTGGACGCGCCTCATGGGCGTTTGTCGACACTGGTGCGCCCTCATCAGGAACGCGGAGTGCTTCTGGGGAGACATCGTTAACTCAGAAGACCCTCACTGGCTGAAAATTGCATTGCCTCGCCTGGGCAAGGGTTTCCTCCGCGCCCGGCTCAACGACGACCGCCACCTAGAGGGAACCATACCGATCCTCCTGAAGCACGCCGACCAGCTCAAACACTTGAACATTTCCGCCCGTGTGGCCGAATCCAATTCAGATCCCCTCGCTTCACTCTTGAATTCCCCTCTGCCAGTTCTTGCTAGTCTGCAAATGTCCCTGCAACCCTCGTACCATCACGAGCATCCTCTCGGTCGGTTGTGCTTTCCTGACAAAAACCACCCGAGTCTCACGTCACTGAAGCTGACACGCATGTCTCTCTCTTGGACCACATCGCTCCTTGGCCATTTGCGGACCCTCTCTCTGTCCAGCTGTGAACTTTCCACGCCATCTCTCGCTCTGTCGGGTTTCCTCGATATCCTTGGGGATGGCCAGCACCTGGAAGACTTCTCCCTGGACCGCTTCCTTTCTACGGCATTGTCACCTCAAAGCTTCGCCTCGCACGGGCGTCTTGTGACTCTCCCCAAGTTGCGCCATCTCCGCCTTACCGAAACTCCTTTCGATATCGCGCGGCTCTTGGGCCACATCAACGTTCCTAACACCTGCTCTATATTCCTCTCCGGAAGAAGCAACTATTACGATAAAGACGTCAGCTTTATCTCCATGCTTCCGCAAGAGCGTGCTCGGGTCGCGTTCGTCGGGTTCACCACCGATGTCACGTTCGTCATGACACGGCTGGACAATGTGATTTACTGTCGTAGCCCGTTGGCATCCTGCGAGCTAGATCTCCGTTGTTCAGCTGGATACGCTAAGGGCGACCATTGGCTTGGCGTCGGGCTCTTGCAGCTCGTGGCTCTCTTCGGCCATGGACAGTGCGCATTGACCAGCTTGGACATCACCGGGCAACTGCATACCCCCCACTCCTCCATCTGGCTCAAGGTACTCGCCGCCTTCCCCGCGCTCCAGACCCTGGTGCTCCGCGGCTACAACGTCTTCCCCTCGTCCGCCGCTCAAGCGCTGGCCACACCCCCGGTCGTCGTCGGCGATTCGGAGCAAGGAGACCCGTCCCGGCCCCGCGTATGCTGTCCCTCCCTGAAGCACCTCAATATTCGTGGATGGGGCTGGAGACCCGCTACTGTGGAAGCCGTCTTGGACTGCCTTGGGGCCCGTGTCGCTCTTGGGGCGCTGGAACTGGAGTCGTTGGATTTGACTGCACATTGGGAGCGGGCGGAGGAGAAGGAATGGGTAGCGGCTTGGGCGCCATATCTGCCCCGACTGCGCGGGGTCGTGGGTCACTTGAATGTTCACTATAGCGAATGAAGATTGGTGTGTAAGTACCTAGGCTTCTTCCCACCGTACGCCAGGAGCCGAGGCTGGATCCAGGTCGTGCACCTGAAGTGCGATGAGCCCGCCAAGCTATGGAACTACACGACCACGCAGCGCGCTCGCCTTCTCGACCAGAAGTGTGAAGTGTGCACACTCTATCTCTCCTTCTCCCCGGCACACAACGCGGTGTGATTGTTGGACGTATCAACGTATGGAGCTAGAGTGCGAGCGAAGATAGGTATTTTATATGAGACATGCATAGTTGTCGCAAAGAAACTTGAGCGATCCTGCAGTCGAGCACCGACCTCGCCAGGATATCGCTATCACCACCATCCGTCAAGTTCAAAGTCATCAACCACTGCGAGAAACCGCGGGCGGTACTTCTCCAAAATGGGAAATATCTCCGGCACCCACCGCTCCCCTTCACCATCCAATCCAAAGTACTCCAACCTCGATGCGCCGTGCGCGGCACGCACGCGCAGGCAATCCAGGATCCGGCCCAGCCCCCGTCTACCCCAGTCCCAGCCGTCGATCCTGAGATATGTCAGCGCTGGGCAGCGTACGCGGGCGGAGCGCCCTTTGCCAGCGCTGGTAGAGATCGATCGCGCGGGGGCGGCGGAGAGGGAGCGGAGCATGGTAGTAGGGAGGAGACCAGACTCGTGCTCGCGGACGACGAGCTTTTCCAGCGAGGGGAAGGCATCAAACACGCGGTCCCAAGTCTCCTGCGAGACGTCCAGAATACCGCAGACCTCCAACTCCGTCAACGCGGGCCCGAGGAAACCAGTGAGCTGCTGCAGCCCCTGCTCTACCCAAGGTGGCTCGTCCCAATATTGCCTGTCGGGGTTGAGAAGGCACAGCTCGAGGGATGTCCGCAAGGGGCCAGAGAAACGGAGTCCATTCTGGGTGGCAGTGACGTCGATGATTGCACGGGTGATGGTTTGCAGGACGGGTAGTGGTGTACCAGGATATTCTGGGAGTAAGGAGGCGTGGGCGGTGGAAGGCACATTGCCATTGCAGTCCCCCACAAGTTCGACGTGCGAGATCGCGGGGGTACGGAGGTGCGTCATCAGCCGCGCAATGTTGGATGGCACATCGCTGCACTCGAGGTGCTGTAAACCGGGGAGCGTAACAAGACGCTCATGGGGCGCCGAGGTTTGGGGATCCAACGCGGCCGAAAGAAATTCTGTGAGGTGGAGGTATCGAAGGCGTTGTCCTTGTTCGAGTACGTCGAGGAAGTCCGGGAAGGGAAGTGTCGCGGTCGATAAAATGCAATCCGTCAGAGACAAGACCTCGAGATGAATTAGAAGCGACTTCTTCCAAGGTAGCGAGGCTCGGGTGAGCTCCAGCCATTCGAGACCAGGATGGTTGTCTCCTACAGCGCATAATTCGCTGTCTGTCGAGTCCATCTTGATTGCAAGGCTCCTCAGGACAGGGAAAGAGCGCGATAGAAAGGACTCAAGGCGGAGAGCATCTTCATCGCGTACCTCCCCCTTGAGGATCAGCTTCTCGATGCGACCAGCGTGCGCGTCAAGGGTTGGCAGAACCGCTTTGAGGTTGCAGTCGGCAGCGAGCTGTAGACGGATCGGCGAGTTTCCCAATCGGCTCAGGGCGAGTTTGAACCACTTGATGTTCTTGGATATTGTGATGTCCCTCCAGAAAACGGCTCCGTTCCTGATAAGGGCACACCAGTGGCGACACACTCGCATCAGCGGTGCCCAAGGGCGCCGAGGCTTAAAATCAGGTGGAGACAGTTTGGACGGTAGCTTGTCCGGAAGGAGCGCTCGGACGAGTTGCTCGAAGATGTGCAGGAGTATCTCCGCAGGGAGATAGTGGATAGGCAGGTCCGCGTTCCACATCGCCTTTCGGCTTAGAAGATCGAGCTCGAACTTCGTCTGTCTGCGATGAAGGGTCATCTTGTTCCTGAGATAACCCGGGGTACGAGTTTGCGTGCAGTGACAGGAGTCGGGATCAATTGGAGGGAGGCCATATAGAGGCCCGGGTAGCTTCTCATCCAGGAAGATCATCCCCAGCCTTGTCGTGTTCTTGACAGGCGAGGATGGGAGTCTTCTGCCGCTGTACAATTCACAACACTATCTTCAGAATGGCTTTGTAGCAAAATCTGACTGGAATCTTGTAGCAACTCACTCATCGACGGGTGACATCGTGGCAAGGGAAAACATCGTGTCGGCAACGTGTTCAATGGTCTAGCTTGTTTCGGCCATACGCAGAGTGTCACTAGACCCCGTGGAAGGCAACGTAGTCACGTAGAACGTAAAATTTATCAATGGTGATGCTTTGAGGAATGAAAATGCAACAGTAGCATACCTCGGATGGTGGTGCGGGTAAGAAGAGACACTGGGCGCAAACAAGCGCTTCACCGCGCGTTCACCTTCAAACTCCAGAATTTGTCTCATTCTGATACCCATTGATATGCACGCAAATGATCATTCATAGTACTTATAGAATCCATATGTTCTGGGGATGTGCACGGGCTCGAGATGGAGTACAGGCCCTCGTGAGCCTCTTCACCGATTCAAAATCTCGCGACGAGTTTGAGTTATATACGTAGATCGACTGTCATCTCCTATATAGTCAGCCACGGAGACTAAGTTTGAGTCGACAGCATTGATTCGGATAACACATGGCCCCCTCATAACACTCTCGCATGTAGCTTACATTATGAGTGAAAAACGAGTCTTCCTGGTATGAACACTCTTGTACCACTGCGCATCGCTAAGGAGGATCAAATTCAGCTACGAGAACAGTGGCCCTCCGTCGACCGCGCAGCCAAGTGGCCGCGCGTGGTCAGGTCTCCTTCGCAAGGACGAACTGGTCGACAAGTTCACGAAGCCGGTCAACGTGATGCTCCTCGACCCCCCTGCGAACGGGGCCCGGGTCGCGTGTCCTCAACGTTAGGTGCTCCAGCCTTGGTGTCCCGCTCGCAGCGCGAGACCGCAAGCACTCCAGGACCGCCACCACAGTCCTTGGTATCCACCACACCGGGTCGATCGTGAGCTCCTTCAAAACCGCACAGCGAACCGGGCAGTGTACCTCCCCGATCTCCGGATCCCTGGCGTTGTCGCTATAAGAATTGGAGGCGCTTTGGAGGGAGCGGAACAGGTCGTCGACCATTGTTGGCTCAGGTGCCCAGCCATAGTCGTTCAGGGACAACGTCTGCAACGTCGGGAAGGCGTCGAACAGGATGTCCCAGGTGGTGGCGGAAAAACTGAGTATGCCGTTGAGACGCAGATCGGTCAACGCAGTTCCGAAGACCATAGGCAACCGGAGTAGTTCCGGCTCCATATCCCAGATGGAGAGGTGTTCGTTGACGGACATTTGAAGCTTGATGGAGCCAGCGCAGCTGAGTAATCTCTGCCCGGCCCAGTGAGTGAAGTGGAGAGAGGAGATAGCTTGCAGGGCGGGAACTCGTGTGAGATCTTCGGGGAGCAATTTGGCCGTCAGGGTGGTATCGACGCCGGCAAAGTTGTTGGGATCGTCTCGCGCTTCTTGAAGCTCAATGGAGGAGATTGCAGGGGTATGGAGGTGTGTCATGAGCTGAGCAACATGAGCGGGCAGGTCGTGGCAGACGAGATGTTGCAGCTCAGGGAGTGTGACCAGATGCTGGAGTGGAACGACGGTCTGGGGAGATAGTGCAACGGAGAGAAAGTGTTCCAAGCGCAGCTGCCGGAGCTTCTGGCCGTGCTCCAGCAGATCGAGGAAATCGGCAAAGGGTAGAGGAGGAGTTGAGAGTCGACAATGTGTCAGAGATAGGGATTCAAGGCCGGAGAAGAGAGACGGGGTCCAAGGCAAAGACACCCGTGTGAGGACTAATGTTGTGAGGGTTTGGAGACGACTACTGCTGAGGGTGGGGAAGAGAGGGGGGTGCGATGATCTCTCCGCCGAGAGTTCTAGGTGCTTGAGGATGGGGAACGACCGGGATAGGAATGGCGCGACGAAAGACTCGTGTATCGGCTCCCTGAAGCTCAGCCCTTCGATGTGATACACATGCTTCAGCAACAACGGCACGACCGCTTCGAAGTTGTGCCAGAGCACTATGCGTATCGGAGCACCTCCTGAACGGAACAAAGCTACTTCAAGCCAACGAGTCTCCCGGCTTCGGACGTCGATGTCCGTCCAGAAGCAAGCTGTGTTCCTGATGAGGGCGCACCAGCGTCGGCAGACGCAAATCAGACGCGCCCAGGGACATTTCAAGCTGCCAGTCCTGTCGATGAACGAGTCGTGCGACGGAAGAAAATGTTGGAAGATCTGGATAAGGACCTCCACCGGCAAAGTATGGATCGGCAGGGAGACGGACAACAGAGGTCGGATTTCGGTGTCAACTAGCCCAACCACCGCCGATCTAGGAGATGGAGAGCCGTCTAATCAGAGTTGTTAAGCAGGTACACATCGGTACTCGTGAACTTACCGACACTCATTGTCAGAAGACATCGCAGTGTAAGGCAATGTAGAGAATGAACGTCGTCGAAGGCGATGGTGGCTCGGATGAAGAGTCCGAGGGTGTATTCAAGAGCGACGATGGCGGGAACGCCCAGCCATCAATGGTAGGATTACTGCACCTGATGTGTGCAATACCACATATTTCAACTCCCTCTTAGCTCAGTTGGTAGAGCGCGTCACTAGTAATGACGAGGTCAGTCGTTCAAATCGGCTAGCGGGAATCATTTTACCCCTTCAAAATGTCGTTTTGCCCTTCCCAAGAGGCAACTATCTGCTCTGAGCACTCCACAGCAGTCGCAAGCACCTCCCAGCCAATGAAACACCAACAACACCAAAGTCTATGTTATTCTGGTAACAACAGATTACGCAGGGAGCCAAGTATCCACACGATCGAGAGCGGCACGACGCCGCATCCCGCATTACAGTTACGCACAACAATAAGCAGAGATAATAAGAGCAACAACGTAGAAAGTGTCCGACAGGGGGGAAGGAAGACCACGGTCCATCGTCCATGCGACGCAGAGAACAAGAAAGGGCGGGCATAATAAGGAAAACGGGGAAGGCGGCCGCGGCAGCAGCCAGTGTCTGGTGGTACACCGAAGCGGTACGAAGGCAGGAAACAAAGGAGACGGGAAAGGGGGTGCGCTCCAGAGTACAGTAACACCACAGGGTCCGGGTTCTACAGAGGGAAAGCGTGCGCCAGCCCTCGGCTCCGCACGCTGCGGCAGGGAGGACTGGCGCGGAAGTCCGTCATCGTAGCGGTACATCTCGTACGTCGTCTTCGTCTTCGTATATCATCGTGTCGTCATCGACGGCCTCTCGTCTTCTCGTCTGCGCGTTTTGCTCGTTTCGTGGGCGGATCGCCGGCGTGTCGTTCGACAGTCTAACCCTCAGTCGCTCTCCAGAAAGAGCGTCTGCAAACGCAAAAGAACGGGGTCAATTCCCCGCACGCGCGCCGAGGGGCGATCGCAGCACTCACCACCTCGTACACCACGTCATCCGGGTGCGCCTGGTTGTACGCGGCGACGTCCCCCGTGAGCACGAGCGCGCCGTCGCGCGCGCGCACCGCGACGCGCGTCCGCGGGTGCGAGCCGTCAGGGTTCACCCAGTGTGCTGCACACCGCCACCGCAGCCCCCACAGTCAGCCTTTCCCTTTCGTGCACCGGGGCTAGTGAGAGTTCGAGAGTATGACGCACCGGTGAGGGCCTGTGTCGCCGCGTCGAACATCCAGATCGCGGACTCGCCCCCGGCCGCAGCGGGCCGTGCGTGCGCAGACGCTGCAGAGAGTTTGCGTTAGTGTACGTTCGAAGGTGGTATGCGCTTGTGGCGCGGGCGGCAGCATCCCACGCGCTCCGATCGTGTCCCCGATCCCCCACGTCTAGCGTCCGAAGAGCTCATGGGTCCTCGGTGAGGGGGCGAGCGTGGTACGAGCACGGGCAGAGGCCGCCGCACGACGGCCGCCACACGCCACGGACGCGCAGGGGAGAGAAGGTTGTAGTTTAGACTCACTTTGTGGCACGCTGTTGAGCACGACCGCGCTGCCCGCGACAAGCGCCGTATCAGCTCCCGTCCTCACGAAGCAGGCGCAGCATAGCATGTGCGGCGGAAGGGCGGACGTACCTAGGGGACCCTGAAGCGAGTGCAGCCGTGCCCGCTCCCCCAAGGAAGGTCGGTTCTTGCTCTTGCGCGGTTTCGGTGTTGGGCTTGCGGGGATCCCAGCAGAAAGTCAGCATCTACGCAGGATATGTGCGCATCACGAAGAGAGCGTGCGCACCGTTACCGCCTTGACGATGCTGCCGATGCTGAACAGCGCCCGCGGGCCTGACGCCGCGAACGCGACGCGCGCGCTGTCTTCATCGCCGCCAAGGCTCCTGTTGCAACAAAATATCGGCGTGCAGCATGACGATAGATGCAGATCAGGCACGGGCGCGCGAACGATCAGCAACGCTGCGATCGGGGACGGGAGAGACGAAGGGCGGGCACTCACACACCGGACGCGGAGGACCGCACGTATCCAGCATCGAACTCGGTCCCGGCGTACCGCGCGACAATGCGCCCGGAGTACGAGACGTCGACCGCTCTGCAGTGGCGCGCACAGTCAGCTCTCCACATTGCGCTCAGGTAAATGGACGGAGGGCGAAAACGTACGGTCTGGCCTTGGAGTACGCAAAGGGGCTCGCACTGGGGCTGGGCGCGGTGCGTTTGTGGACGAGCGGGCTCGTGGGCGTCGCGCGCTGCACGATGCGCGGCGCGCGGGGCGGCAGCCCGACGGCGAGCCGTTGGGCGTTCGTCCAGAGGTGCTGGTCGGGGCCGCGCAGCGACTTGACGCGCCGGGGCGCCTTGAGGGATGGGGGTATGCTCAGCGCGGAGGCGGGGGAGGGAGCGGCGAGGAGGATGAGCGTGAGCAGGAGGACGGGGAGGATCGCGAGGCTATGGAAGCGGCAGAGCATGGCGCGGCGTGAGGGTGAAGTGTAAAGCGTGAAGGTCAAGGTAAAAGGGCGTGAAGGAGCGGAGGGAGAGGAGCGCGAGGAGTCTACAAAGTCAACGTCGAACGAGGAGGAAAGCAGCAAGCGGGGGAGGAACGGGACGGTGCACACTGCACAATGCACGCCACTTTCTATAGCGTGCACCGACCCTGGCCGGCACCGTAATCAGACACGCTTCGGCCCCACGAGGAGGACGATCTAGATCACAAAAGCGGGCTCGCAGGGAACCAGCAGGGCACACCACGCCTTGGCCCGCGCCCGGATCAGCCACCGCCTGCGTTAAAGGAGAGGATTCGCCGAACGCGTCCACGCTTTTTTCGCTTTGGGCGCCCGGACAAGACGCCCCGGCCGCGGGGAGGTGGTGGACAGGGCATTGAAACGCTGCACAACCTCCGACGACGCGCTGTCGCACCGCCAATGAACCTTCGTGGCTGTGTGCCGCACGCTCGGGCCCTCGCCGCACACCCGTGGACGATGCGCGGCGACGGCCCCTGCGTCAGCGGTGAGCCACTCGGCGTCCAAAGGTAGCTGGCGAGGACTTTAATTCCAGAGAGGGCGTACACATGATATGTTTAGAGCGCGCCCGCGGCAGGGAAAGCAGCCGGCAGCTTGAGCCTCAAATGCCGCCCATGCAGCCGAGAATGCTCGGGGTGCCAGTGGGGGCCTAGCACGCTGGGCTGGAGAACGTTCGAGAGCTCAAGTGAAGCTGTCGAATTGCGCCAATGCAAGTGGTGTGAGAAGAGAAGGCGAGACGCCGTGCACGAGGCAGCTGAACGGGGAATGGGGAACGCGCTGCAGGGGATCCATCATCGAATCGGCATCGACGGGCCGCGGTTTGGCCTTTGCTGGAGCACCGAGGGGACCGGGATCGACGGCTGGCGACACGGATGGGTTGCTTCGCTGAAATGGTGGGTGAACTACGCGATTCGACGATAGAACGTGTCAACGAGCAGAGGATGGGTTGCACAGGTGGCTCTATGAGTACCTCTCATCTTTCTCAGCACGTGATGAAGCGCGAGCATCGCGTGTGCTTGTACTGCGCAAAAGCATGGCTGCAAGCTCAGGCACCTATGTTACAACGGCGGGGCTGCAGAGCAAACAGTCAAAGACATAGTAGTCCTGAAAAGTCCCTTCAGCACCTACGTCGGCCACTTCAAGGCAACAGGGACATACAGCGGGGCAAGAAGTTGTGCTCACATTAGAACGGCCTATAAGCGCAGCAGTTGTACATGCATGCAATTACCGGATTACCACGATTTTGCAACAGGGATACAAAGCAAGCAGGGAGACATTTAGCGCACCGTGATAGATCTGGAGTAGCGGTGCCAGCGACAGAAATCTGGAGCTCGGAGTGCACCAGGTGCAGATACAGCGCGGACCTCCATTCGTTTTCCTTGCCTGCGTAGGTCGGATGTTCGGGATACCCAAGGTGGACTCTTGACTCCTGGCTGTATGCGTCCCCTTGTATGCGCAAAGTGAGCCGCGTTTGAGACTGGGCAGCGCAGCAGGAACCATGGGCTACAAGTTGCAAGCAGAGGCATCTGACGAGCTAGAAGATGGTAGTGCAGCAATGTCATGTTTTCGGGGAGGCCGACCAGTGTCTATATATAACGGAGAGACCACAACGTAGCCCGAAGTTGTCGTCGTGTCATCGTGGTCGAAAGCGAGAAGTAAAGGTCGATGTACGCGACGCTATCTACGAGCGGGAATTGCCGTTCGTCCCGCCCAGCAAGCGCCCATTCCTCGGAGCTCTCTAACAAGCTGACCTATGGCCATCCGTACGCGACCCAAGCATGGCGTACAAGGATGACTGTAAAGATAGCATCTCTCGCACTGTGCACGCTAGGTAGAATGTACAAGCACGTACGCAGGGTACTGTACCTTGAGCCGCGCGCGCGAGCACGCGCTGAGTCTAGAGAGGCTCCTCCCCTCCGGCTGCGTGCGCACTTAGGTAGGTCGTGCCCACCCACCTCCTGCGGCCGAAGCCGCGGGCTCCTCTGCTCCTCCCTGTCGATGCGCTTGTGGTACCGCGGCCTCGTCTGCTGCCGCCGAAGTAGCCTTTCTGAGGAGCACCGAGGGGGCCGGGACCGACGGCTGGCAGAACGTCTGAGCTGCTTCGCTGAAAGACGGTGGGTGAACTACGCGATCCGGCGAATGAACTGTCAACGAGCAGAGGATGAGTTACACATAAGCGAATAGTCAAATATATAGGTAATCTTTAAAAAGCTCCTTCAGCGTCTAGGCTCACATCGAACCAGCAGGGGCATACAGCGGGGCAAGAAGTCGCACTCACATTAGAATAGTCTGTCCGCACAGCAGGTCTGCATGCACGCGCCATACGAGTGCAAGAGTACCATGTTTACGAACAGGAACACAAAGCAAGCAAGAGGAAACATGGAGCGCACTGTGATAGAGTAGCAGGGCCAGCACCAGGCATTCGGAACTCGGAGTGTACCTGGCGCAGAGACAACGCGGATCTCCACCCGCCTTCCTCGCCTGGATAGGTCGGGTGTTTGGAGTCCCATGGGTGAAATCTCGACGCCTGTATGCAGGCGTCCTTGTAGGCGGGCAGCGAGCCTGATTCGGGACTGAGAGGCGCAGGGGAACATCGTCAGCTGCAAGTAGAGGGATCTGACGAGGTGGAAGATGGTAGTGCAGCAGTGTGACGTTTCGGAGGAGACCCAGTAGTGCTCCTATATGACGGAAAGACTTCCGTTCAGCCTCCAGAACTCGTCGTGTTGTCGTGGTCAAAGCAAGAAGAGATGGTCGAGGTACGCGACGCTTTCTACGAGCGGGAATCGCCGTTCGCCCCGCTCAGCAAGCGCCGACTGCACGAAACTGGTGACTTTACCTTGCGAGCGTAATATAAGAATGCATAATGTTCAAGCTCCAAGATGACATCAAGACGCAACTTTGGTCCTGTGCACGCTCGGAAACTGTCATGGGATGATGTGGCATGAAATAGCGCTACAAACGCGTGTGTGCGTATTAAGAGGATGTTACAATGTACAAGCACAGGGTATGTTCAGCCACGCGCGAGAGCACGCGCTGAGTCTAGAGAGCGTCTTCCCCTCCCCGTGAGAGCGAGCTTAGTAGGTCGCGCCCGCTCCCCTCCTGCGGCCAAAGCCGCCTCCTCTGCGCCTCCCTGTCGATGCGGTTGTGGTGCCGCGGCCTCGCCTTCTGCCGCCGAAGCACCTGCAGCACAGGATAGCCATGATCACGTCCCAGATAGCAAGGAGGACCTGTAAATGATGCGGTCAGTTATGCTAACTTAAGGAGGAGTGCGTATCAGACATACCGAGACGATGGCGGAGACGATAGTCTCAATGACAGCCGCAATAGCGGAGATGATGGCGTTGATGCCGCGACCGATGGCAGATACGATGGAACCCTGTAAACACGGAATGGTTAGCCATGCACGAGCTCGAGCAGACGTCGGGCGACATACCATTGTGTGATAATGATACGCTCGTTGGTCGTGAAAGTCGTAAAGTGGGGGGTGTGTTGTGTGATGGGAAGAGGTGAGGTGTTTGGTAGAGAGGGTGGGCCCCTGGACGAGCTTATATAGCGTCGGGGAAGGCAAGGTACCGCAGTGACGTCTCGCACCATCCGCACGCCAGCAGCGACGCCGCACTCCATGGAGTCCAGAAACTCGTCACTCTTGGCGGGAGCATGATGACGATGATGTCATACCACCGTCGGCGTAAGTGCGAACGCCTTCCATTCTCGGCCAGACCGGCCTGCGTCATACCTGGTGGCTGTGTAGTGTCATTCTGCGAAAGGCAAGTCAAGTACCTGCCCTCGACGTGAGGTCCTTCCGGGATGGCCTGACCGTCGAGGGAATCCAGATCTTCCCATTTCAGTGTATGCTCTTAGTAGACTCGTTCGAGCCAGCCGGAATGTGACGAGGTTCTGCTGAAACGGGACGGAAGCTGCGCAGAGATCCTCTTATAAGTACTTCAAACGCTTTCCTCTCTCTCGTTTTCGCATTCCGCCGTCTCCAAAATGGAAGGCCCTATATGATTTATGGTGACTAGACTAAGCTCTAAGTGTCATAATTTGCCCTGAGCGATCGTATTTAGTGCAGAGCAAGCCAGACCTGCCAAAGCGGCACTTGCCGAAAGCGGGCGCTTGTGAGTGCGCACAGCTTCAAGGAGGCAAGTTCTCCTCTCGACCGCCACCCGGCGGCTTCTGATGGAACAAACACGCCTGCAGGTCTGGACTTTGTCTGTCTGCCGTGGCTATGGTATATTTATGTTCTGGGGGGTTCTTTCAAAGTCGCCACGGTAGCAGATGTTTTTGTTCCGAGTCGCGCACACGGGGGACAAGCTTGTGCATGATAATGCCATTGATAACCTCGACGATATAGTAGAAACAAAATGAGTGTGGGGGATGGATAACAGACAAGGATACTGAAGGAGTGTGTGAGTGCGAGCGCGAGCGCGAGAGAGATAACGGAGCTATGCTACAGTGAGACTATAGATACAAGATACAAGATCTAGGATACGAACCAGAGACCATGTAGACCAGAAAACGCGAGAACCAGTGACCGTGAAAACCGTAGAAGTGCGTGATGGTGTAACCGAGAGACTCAGTCCTCCGCCATGAGAGTCGTCACCCAGCGGGCGACGAGACCAGCCGCCTCCTTGACCCGCGCCCAGTCCTCCGGGGCGATCTTCGGGCCGACGAGCGTGTCGAACTTGTCCGGGTGCCAGCGCATGACCTCAATCTTGAGGATCTCCCTCTTGGACTTGCCCTCGTTGGCGGGGCGGTGAGGCCAGAAGACGAAGCAGCGCACACGGTCGAGCGTGATGTCCGACGGGTCCGTGCAAGCCTCGCCGGGGAAAGGGAACTCGTGGAAGCGCACGATGCCCTTCAAGTCCCGCTGCGTCTTGAGCGCCGTCCACTTGGCCTCGTACGTCTGGCAGATCGCGCGGCCGGTCTCGATGAGTGCTGCCTCCGCCCGGCGTTGCTCCTCCTGCGCCTGGCGTTCCTCCTCCTCGCGGGCAAGTCGCGCCTGGCGTTCCTCCTCCTCGCGGGCAAGTCGCGCCTGGCGTTCCTCCGCCTCGCGGGCAAGCCGCGCCTGCTCCTCCACTACGCGGCGCAGCGCCTCCTCTGCCTCCCTCCTCGCCCGCTCCTGCGCCTCCCTCCTCTGCTGCTTCTGGTTTTCCCGCATCTCCTGCTCGCGTAGGCGCTCGATCGCCTGCCAGCGCCGCTGCGCCTCCTCTATCTGCCGCTGCTCCTCCGCTCTCCGCTCCATCTGCAGACGGCGTTCCTCCATGAGGCGCGCCCGATTGGCCGCCTCGCGCTGAGCCGCCTCGACCTCGCGCCGGTCCCTCCACTCCGCCTCGATCTCCCGCCGCATGCGTTCGTTCTGCTCACGCAGCCGCATCTCCACGGCGTGCGCAGCCTCCTCCTCCTTGCGCTTGCGCTCCGCCCTCTCCAGGCGCTTCTGCGCCCGCTGGCGCTCCTCCTTCAGCTTGCGCCGCGCCGCGCGCCTCTGCACGGACTCCCACATGAGCACGCGCATGTCCACCGGGTGCAGGGCGCGCAGCCGCGCGGCGTCCGCGTCGTGCTGCTCGATGCGGCGCACGTTCTCCTCGGTGTTCGCCATCGCCTCCTCGACGATCACGGCCTCCTTGTGGTAGCTCGCGCGCGTCAGCGCCTGGAAGCGGTACTCGGAGAGCTGCTGGAGCACGCGCTGCGCCTGCTCGGTGAGCGGGCCCTTGGCCTTGATCTCCTCGACGATCGGCTGCGCGGCGTCGTCGATGTCGATGTAGATCTGGTCCCCGACGAGGCGCGGGTACTTGCTGGGCGGCGCCGCGAGGTAGCGGAAGTTCTTGAACTCGGAGGCGGAGGGGTAGCCCGGGCCGGTGCGCCGTCTGCGAGGGATGGTGGGCGGGGGCGCCGCGTTCTCGTTCTGCATCTGGGCGCGGCGGGCGGCCTGCAGGCCGTAGGGAGAGGGCGGGGACGCGGGGAAGGGCTTACGGGGGTGAGCGGGCATCTTCTTGGTCTGGCCGTAGGGACGGAGCTTCTGCGGGCCGCGGAGGTGGCTAATGTGATGTTGGGCGGTGAAGCTAATCATGGTTGTAGAAGTTGGAAGAGAGAGAGTCTAGGGAGTTCGAAAGTGTCGAGAATCGGAGCTAGGGCTACAGTTGTCGAGGCAAAATAGAAACAAGTGGGAATGATCCTCCGGGTTGTCGATTGGGCGATGGTGTTTGTGTTGAGTTGAGTTGTTGGATTGAGTTGTCGAGTTGTTGCTGTTGCGGTGCGCGTGTCTTGAGCGGGTACTTGCGGACGAGACGCCGGAGGATCGAAGTGAAAAAGACTAGGTAACGGGAGCAAAGGTGGGGGTTGGGGGGCAAGCCGCGACGGGCAAAGCTGGGCTTTATAGCTTTGGCTTTCGGCTAGAGCTTTGAGTACGTGTGTTTGCGCAGTCCCTCAACACTTGCCTTCTTTGTCAATTGTGCCGTGCAAGCAGCAGCAATCAAGGCTTGAGGTAGCAATTCCTGCCCAAATTGGAAGAAACGGAGGCCGTAAGCGACGTAGGCGCTTTGACGCCTGCCATCCGGGACCATCCCTTATTTCCCCGCCCCGAGGACACTGTCCGCGCGTCCGTCTCCCCGCCCTCCCCAAGCGCTATGGCCGCCTATCTCACGCGCTAGGTGGTCACTGGGAGGCCGACGTCGGGCGGCCAGCTTGGATGGACGTCTGCGACGACGGCGGGCGTGCACTGTGAAGCAGCGAGACGATTAGCGGATCAAATTCCGCGCTCCACGATCGACTCACCCTCTTTTTCATCCATTGTCCTCCCGTGACCAATTGGATTGCATCCAGGCAATTGAGCCGCCTTGGTTGCTTTGGGCTGTCTCCGCAGCTGACCAATTGCCTGCGCGCTTGGCCTGCAAGTCAGGCCCGCGGGCTTGCGCGGCCCAATGATACCGAGTGATAGATAGGCTAGGTTCGCTTCCCGAGGCAAGGCACGGCGAAAGGGCCCTTTCACCATGGTCTGCCAAAGCTGTGCGCTTGGACGGTGAGCGACCACGCAGACGGCACACCGCTCGCAGGACGCGGGGGGGGGGGGGGGGGT